TCCAGCAGCGGGGCTGGTGATGCCGGGAGGCAGCGGGGCCCAGTGGGCTACCTGTGCGGTGGCGGAGGGCCAGTGGGGTGGCAGGTGAGCGCTGGCTGTCCCCGCGCTGGCTGTCCCCGTGCCGGCTGTCCGCGTGCCTGGCAGCGAGGCGCCGGGGCACAGCCGCCATCACCACGAGGCTTCACCCCTCTCTCCAGGCGAGCCCCGGGCTGAGGACGCCCCGGCTGCCCGTCTGGCTGTGCAGTCTGGCCGGGAGGCACGGCGTCCTCTTTGGCACCGACAGCCGGCTCCTCTCCGACTGGAAAAGGGAGAGAGTCTTCCACCTGCACTTCTACAGCGGGCGGGCGAGAGCAGCCCACCTAACGATAGGTATGCACCCCAGCTCGGGGGGGCGAGAGGAGGGACGGGTGCCCCGCACGGGCCTCGCGTGACTGTGCCCTGCTGCGGCGGGCGGACCACCAGGTGCTCTGGATTTAATACACAGACACAGGCTGTTTGTGAGATCAGCCGTGCACAGGTGGTGAGGAGCCTGCTCCAAACAACAGCAGAACACAACACAAACATCAGCCTGGCTGTGAAAGGACGGGGACTGTAACATGTCCTGTAATTTCCTCCCTCTCCTGTCTCTGCGGCACTTGAAGTAAGAAACTTGCCAACACCCCTAAAGGGTAAACCTGCAGGAAAGGAGGTGAATCGAGACTCAGGGCGATGACAGGCGGCGTGTCTGCAGACAAGGACGTGCATGTCTGTTCAGAAAAACAATATGCAAACGTGCCCTGCAGGGAGCCAAGATTTATAGCGCCCGAATTTCCCCAGGGGGACCCGCATGGCATGGGGGGAGCCCCCACCCTCCCGGGGGGGCCGAGTTGGGGCTGCCCTGAGCTCCCTCCTGGGGCATGGCGGGCAGCACACCTGCGGCAACCACCTGGTTCTGCTTTCAACCTTTTCTGAAACTTTTCTGAGGGAGGGTTGGGGTTTCTTTTAACTGCGTTTCGTTTTCAGACACTCATTCGCATCCCTGGGAAGAGGCCCGCAGCGAGGGCCCAAGCAGCCCCGGGAAGAGGCGCCCGCTTGTGGAGATGGCGATCAGGAGCAAGTGGACAGGCGCCAGCGTCAGCTGGAACGGGACAGAGCCCTTCTTCTGAAACTGGGCCTCCCGCTCGCTCCCGACTCCACCAAACTGCTGTCTGGAGGAGAAAAAACACTTTCACCAATGTTCAGGGAGGCATTGCCCCCACTGGGAAAGCCTGTGCGGGTGGGGAGCGGGCGGCAGCAGCGCTGCCTGAGCGCGCAGCTCTCCCAGGTGGTGGGATGCAGGTTCCTTCCCTTCCCGGCACAAAAAGGAAAGAGGGCGGCAGTTTGCTTCCCTCCCACACCAGGCAGAGATTAAGAAACCCAGGTGTCTCTTCAGAGTGCAGTGCAAGTGAAATCAATACTGAGCGTTGACAATACTGTGTGCGTCCAACTTACTTAATCAGCGTGTGCCACTAATTCAGCTGTTTGTAGCAATGTTTCCTCCCAGCTCTCTGCCACTGACTCCTGCAGCCGGGTCTCCCTCCCCTCAGCCACACCTCGAGCGTGACCCCAGCCACGCTGGCTCACGGAGGTGCCCGTGTCCCACGCACCCGCGGGGAAGCACAGCTCGCACACGGGGACCGGGGCAAAAGGAGCTCTCACCAGGTGCTTCCTGCTGTGAATTCTGGGATTTTACTGACTCGGAGCGTGGCCAAGCCCTGGCACGCTGTGGCAGCTCGGCGCACGCGGGCAGGGCGCATCGCTCCTTGCTCACGTTAACCACTTCCTACTTCCTTCCTTACAGACATCACCCAAAAAAGACCTGTTAGTCATACCAAAGTGTGTGTTGCTAATGACAACTGTACTGAGAACAATAAACCTTTCTGCAAGTGATCCAGAAGTTTGGTTTAAATGATTTGAATTTAAAGAGAAAAAAAAAAGAAGTGGTTGTAACCAGCCTAAGATTTACCGAATCACCTTGGCTGGAAAAGACCTTGAAGATCATCCAGTCCAACCATTAACCTCACACTGCCCGTTCTCAAAAATTCTCAACGCCTCAGCCCGGCATGGCGAGCAGCCCGCTGGGTGAGGAGCTAACGCGGGCTCTGCACTTGTCATCGCCCCCCTCCTTCCATTTCTGCTCACCTCAGAGCTCCCCGAGCGCGTGGTGGCCCCACTGCAGGGCTGCAGGTCAGCCCGAGCGCTGCCGTCCCCGGGCACCTGCAGCCCTCGTGACACCGTGACAGGGACCCACCACGGACAGGGCTGGGAGCCCCCAAAACCGGGGGGACACTGCCAAGACAGCACCCCCAGTGCTGGCCGTGGAGCTGCCAGCTCAAGCCAGAGCTGCGGGGTCAGCGGGGGACAAGAGGGTGGAGAGGAGCCCACGAGGTGCTGTGAGACAGCGGTTATTTTACCTGGCGAACGCCCTTATGCAAATAAAGAACTAATAATGAATGAGGGAAGCTGCACGGGAGACGCTAACGGAGCTCAGCCGCCCAGCACGGCGCAGTATCGCGCGAGGCTACGTGTGCCGGGTAACTGCTAACGGGTCACTACGGCGGTACAAGGGTGCGAGGCCTCCCCGAGCCGCTTGTCCCCTCCTCCCGCTCCCGACAAGCCGTGGCCGCGGTCGGTGCCACAGAGGGGCCCAGGGCTGCTGGGGTGTCGGGAGCAGGGTCCCCTGTGCCTTCGGCCGCGGAATCGTGACCAGGCCGCCCATGTGCCACCCCGGCCCCTGCCGACCCATGGCTCCTCGTCCTGCTCACAAAACGGGGTGCAGAACGCCCCGACCACTAAGGACAGGAGGAGGGAGAAGCCAGGACTGCCCAAACACGCCCTCGCCGCCTCCCTCGGGCTTCCATCCTCCTGCCCCCACATCTTCAGGTCTTTTTATAACCTTCCCGCAGCGCAGGGCTAAATTTAAGCTGCCGATTTCCTTCAATGAGAACCAAGCCCTTGCTCATTTCTGCGAGGTAACACCACAGTTATGGGTGCTTTAAAAATAAGAAGCAGTAATGACACAATCTGGCTCAAACCTGTCTGAAAAACCCCCACAGCCCCAGCACCTCAAAGCTCTGACCTCACGACAGGGACAACAGCTACAGATTGTCACTTCTAGTCTGGAAATGCCTTTGTAGAAGATAAATAAACCTTGCAACACCCCCCCTATCCCACAGATACTCAGGGTGCTGTCATGCCCTGAAACAGAGGAATATTTACAGGGATCAGGGGCTGCCCAGCAAGGAGCAAAAGTAACAAATGCCGACACGCAGCAGTGAAACTCCTGCCACGTTTTGGCACCTTGCAAGAGGCGATCTCGGGGAGGAAACAAGTGTTATCAGGGCCTCTGGCAGCTCAAGGACGAGCTGCAGGTTTTCACCAAGAAGGAAGAAAACGGGATCAGCTGCATGAAAAGGCTTTTGAGGCCACACGTGGTCGCTGACGGGCGATGGCTCTGCAGCCCGGAGGAGACAAGCAGAGCTCGTTCCTCTGGAGCACCGGTTTCCAAATCATCTCTCCACCGCAAACAATTACTGCCATGGCGCAGACGGTGACCCGTGGCGTGGCAGGCGGCCAGGCTGCTGCTGTCAGAGCCGTGCCCTTGCCGGCGGAGGGCCGGCAGCCGGGGCAGGCAGCGGCGGCCTCACCCCGGCCTGGCACTCGCTCGACCCGCTCACACCTCACTGGTGCTTCACCCCAAGCAGAAGGAATGGACTCTGCTCAATCTTTAAACCAGCCATCAACCTTCTAAAAACTATTTTGTCCATTATTTATTTAAGAGAATGCTTTGGGGGTGCTAAAAAAAAGTGGGATAGCCACATTCTGACATTTAGAAAAAAACCAAATATATATATATATATATCTTAAATAATGTATTTTTAAATTACCCTGTATTATTTAAAGCACAGAAAAAACACATTTTATTTGTATAAACATCCACACCATTCCAGTCTATTTGTGAAAAGGCTCTTATTTTCCCTCTTCCCTACACCACAGAATATCTAATAAACCACAAACCAAGTGAGAGGTCTTCTCCAAGACCACAGGACTATTCTGGCCTTGTTTTCACACCAGGCCATGGGATCGGGGGGAAACAGACTCAGCACTCCAAGATGGAGACTAGAACCTCGGGTCTATTAACTCTGATTCTCCAGTCTCAGAAGACACACATACGCCTATTGCCTATTGCAAAGTTTCTCAACAGCTTTCACAACCCAGGTTCTCTGTTTTGCTCTGATACAACCTATAGATAAAAAAGACAGAGGGAAATTTCTCAGAATCTTAATAACTCAGTAGCCTGTTTTAGTCTCTATATCGTACAGCCATATAATTTCTAGAGAAAATGATACAAACATCTCAATTATACCATCTCTGAATCTATTAAAGAGGTTTTTTTCCTGCAGTTAGTTATCAAGAGTTTGGCTTTCTGTTGTAAATTCAGTTTTAACTGGAACCGGTTTGGTAAGCCATCGGTGAAGATTTTAAGCCTAATTTTATTTCAAGATGCCAAAATACTGTCATCCTTTGAGAGTGATTTTTTTTTTTCTTTAAACTGCTCAGTGCAACTCACGGATTTCCTTAGTGCCGTCTAACTTCCAGGGCTCGTGGAGAGACAGCTGCCACAGGCTTCACCAGCACAACCCCTGGTTCCTAGAAAAATTCAGCAAGAACTCAGGTGCTCGCTCCCATTTGTGCTTCTCCAGCAAAGGCTTTCCTGGTGAGCTCCACCCTAGGATCCTGATAATTTGTACCTCATAAAGCTCAAGGCCTCTCCTTACATCCAAATGCACAGGGCATTATTGGGGGATTTCCCAAAATAGCGAAGAAAACAACGTGCAAACCCTCTGTCAGGAGCATGGCACACAAAAGGATTTTTTCTCGTTTCCTGGCCGGCGCCATCTTGTGCGGTTTAATGGAACTTTACGAACACGAGAAAAATATCAGACTTCAGCTAATAAGGCACCTCAATTTAATGCAAGTTGAGTACAGATAGTACCTTAACTGAGAAGTTTCCAAGGCCTGGAGTCAAGAATGAGTCACACAGCTGAACATCCTAATGGATCTCTGATAATAACACCACTTTAGTGAAGTATTAAAAAAGCTCGATGTGGGTATCTCGGAAGGAAGTATTGCTCGTTTAAGGACAAGAAGCCTCAGAGACAAATTGCAAGGAGAACCGTCCTGGTTTCGGCTAAATAGAGCTAATTTCATTTTTTTCCCCCCTTCCTTCTTAGTAGCTAGAATAGTGTCGTGTTTTGGATTCAGAATGGGATTTGGTATGAGAAGAATGTTGATAATGCACTGATGTTTTCAGTTGTTGCTAAGAAATCAAGGACTTTTCAACTTCTCGTGTCCTGCTAGTACGCAGGTAAACAAGAAGCTGGCGGGGGAGAATAGCCAAAACAACGGACCCAAAGTGGCCAATGGAATATTCCTGCCATCTCACGTCACGCTCGCTATATAGATGCGGGTTGATCGGGAAGCTCTCTCTGCCTCCCAGCACTGGGGGCTCAGGATTCTCTCTGCTCTGGGATCACAAGCCGGCAGAGGGCTGGGCACCGGTCAACGCGCGGTGAGCAATCTCCTCATGCATTACTCGTTTGTATTTTCTATGATTGCTATTACTGTTATTATTTTAATTATATTTTATTTCAGCTATTAACATGTTTTTATCTCAACCTACGGGTCCCCTGACCCCTTCAAGTCTCTCCTCCGTTCCCTGGGAGCAGGGAGGGTGAGCGGTGGCTGCGTGGGGCCGGGCTGTGGCCGGGGTTACACCACAACCAGAACAATGAGCCCCCACGCCAACATGCCTCTTTAATGATGATGCTGCCACCACCGAGCAAACACGCTCCTTTATTCCTCAATCTCCCCATAACAGGAAAGGGATCTGGGGAGATTTCTGTCCTGAGACTTCAGTGTCTTCACTTCTCCAGTGTTACTGGAGCAGAAGATGCTTAAAGTATCACATTTTTTCCCCAAACTTCTTTTATGTGGGGAATGAAATCAGCCCAACACATTTCCTTGTCTGGTCCCCACACGTGAAACCAAAACTAAGAAAACAACTCATTCTAAATATTTTAAACCAGCCCAAAACACCTTTAATTGCTCTTTTTCACATTTTCACCACTACAGCCCGCCACGAGCACCGCGTTGGCCTGTGCCCAGCTCTCCTAACACTCACTTGCCTTTGCAGGAGTCACCTCGGTGACCCCGTCAGCCCCAGCAGTGGTTCCGTGCTCAGGATGGCGGGTGACAGACCCCGTCACAGCGACCCGCGTGTGAAGAAGTCAAGTGGAGGCCACGAGGGGAGACGCTCCTCACACCTTCCCCACCGCCCTCGCAGGGCGCGGACCGGTCATCACCACCAGCATCTTCATTTTGCTAAAAGGGTTTGGGTATGGAACAATCCATGTTTCATTATTGCTGACAATGATACGTGCTTAATTACTGCCAACAATGACCTGTGCTTAGTTACTGCCAACCACAATCACAGAATCACGGAATGGTTTGGGTGGGAAGGGACCTCAAAGCCCACCCAGTGCCACCCCCTGCCCTGGGCCCAGGGCCACCTTCTACTAGCCCAGGTTGCCCAAAGCCCCGTCCAACCTGGCCTTGAACCCTTCCAGGGAGGGGGCAGCCACAGCTTCTCTGGGCAGCCTGTGCCAGGGCCTCACCCCCCGCACAGGGGAGAATTTCTGCCTTAGATCTCATCTAAATCTCCCTCTGTCAGTTTAAAACTGTTCCCCCTCATCCTATCCCTCCCCCCTTTCCCGCAGCCCCTTTCAGCCCTGGGGGGCCGCTCTAAGGTCTCCCTGGAGCTTCTCTTCCCCAGCTGAACCCCCCAACTCTCCCAGCCTGTCCTCACAGGGGGGCTCCAGCCCCCCCAGCATCTCCGTGGCTCCTCTGGCCCCGCTCGAGCAGGTCCGTGTCCTTCTGCTGTTGGTGCCCCAGAGCTGGACCCAGCCCTGCAGGGGGGTCTCCCAGAGCGGAGCAGAGGGGAGAATCCCCCCCTGGCCCTGTGCCCCCCCTGCTCTGGGTGCAGCCCAGCACACGGGGCCTTGCTGGGCTGCGAGTGCACGTTGCTGCCTCACAGGCAGTTTTCCACCCACCAACAGCGCCCCCCCGTCCTTCTCCTCGGGGCTGCTCCCAACCCTCCCCTCGCCCACCCTGGGTTTGTGCCCGGGATTGTCCCAAGCCATGGGCAGGACCTTGCCCTTGGCCTCGCTGAACTTCACGATGCTCAAGGCCGGGCTGGACGGGGCTTCGGGCAGCCTGGGCTAGCGGAAGGCGTCGCTGCCCGGGGCAGGGGGGGCACTGGGTGGCTCTGAGGTCCCTCCAGCCCAAACCATTCCTTCGTGATGATGATGATGATGATGATGACGGTACGTCCGTCATGGCTGCGGCCAGCGCCGGGTCGCGAATTACCGCGGACAGCTCCGTTTCCCAGGGCAACC